TGTGTGTGTGTGTGTGTTTGTGTGTTAAAAAAAAAATTAAACTGTACTGTCAAACGGGGTTTAATGAAGGTGCGTCTTTTGTAATAAGCTCGCACCCTCAAGGCACATAATTCTCAGCCTCCCTCCACTTCCCCACCCCTTAGGCTTTCTTTCTGTATCGCAGACGACGTCCTGTTGTCGACAACCTTTCCTTTATTGAAGAACGTTCTTGTACTTCATTATTCTCCAGACCTCTTCATCAGCGCCGGGCGGAGCTGTGTCTAAAGACTTGAGAAGGGATTAGATTTCGTGTGAAGCGACGCATTTCATTATTACCTTTGTTTTGTTTTTGTTTTTAATTTTTCTTGTCTTGTCACAACAGGACTTAGTTACAACGTGAAAAATGGAAAAGAGAAAAGAGAAAAGGTACTACATGTCCAATGTGTAATTTACTTTCGTAGGTGTGTCGGTTCTCTCTTTTTTGTTGTTGAAGTAAACACTCTGTACACGTGAAGACTTTTAAAATAATTTAGAATGGGAATATATCTCGGGATAGCGAATGAGGTGTGTTCCGATTTAGGATGCTTGTATGGAGTAGGTCTGATTTTTTCTCGCTGAATTAAAGTTGCGGCCCCCCCCCCCCCCTTTCTCCTCCTTATATATATTATACTGTCGGAGTGTAATCACGTGATCGGCCCAAGCTCTGTGACGTCAGACGTCTCCTAAAAGCGCTGTCGACATTTAGTTTTGTTTTTCTGGTGTTGCTGGTTTGGCAAGTCCCAGGGGTCTTTCGGATAGTTCTATTTATAAGGGGAACACTACACTTGGCTATTTCTGTTTTGTTTTTTGTTGTTGAATGTCTTGGTATTCTTTCATCGTTTTGTTGTTGGGTTGGCTGGTGTAGGCTCCACTTCTTTTCTCTTCTCTCTATTGTTTCAGTGGATCTGTGTTGCTTTCTCCATGCACAAAATGGCCGTACTCGTGACGACGTGCTCCTCTTTACTCTAACAATATCGTTTGTTTGTTGAGCCGAGAAGATCAGAACGGCGGTGCTGGTGGTTGGTTGGTGCACCTCTAATCTCCTGGCGCTCATATGACCATATGCAGTTGCGAGCGCCGTAAATCCTCTACTAAAGCTAATCTGAAAGAAGGTGTTGGTCTCATCTTGTCTCATCTACACCTAGTACATGTCCAAATATACCACCAGTCGTGAACGTTTCTTCAACACTCGTGTATTTTGATACTTTTTGTGTCAATTGATTCCGAATAACTGTCTCAGTCTGTTCTTTTATCTTGAGAGTATTATATAATATGTTTTCATCAGATCTTATACTATGTGAATAAGACTTCTAAAATCTCTCCCCCCCTTTTTTTTTGGGAGGGGGGGGGGGTCCTTCTGCTTTGTTCAAGACACGCACCAAAGCCGTGCATATTGATAGTCTGATGGCGACTTGAGGGGGGCGGAAATCGAGACAAGTTCTTCATTATTAATTCATGTCATTACTTGGTGCTGTGGGTTGGTGCTGATAAAAGTATCCCTTCACCTGAATTCTTTCGTTTCGATTATCTGCTCCGAGGCGTCTTTTGGGGACATTTTGCCTCTTGGACACCACGGAAGTGTCTGTGGGCACCGCGGGAGTTGCTCCGTTCCGGGTCACAGAGTGCTAGACATTTGTTGCCCCTGGCAACGCCGGAAACCAAAACAGCTGCACCGGGAGATAACGGTGGTATGCACTGCATGTGTGTGTGTGTGAGGGG